CGGGGCTCCTCCTGCCGCCGGAGAGGAGAAACCCTAGGAGAGTGTACGGGGCCCTCACGCTGCAAGCTTCCATTGATTTTGCATCGATCTTCGGTCAACGACTCAATTATCTCTCCAGCTTTCGGTTTTATTGAGAAAGTTGAATATTGGATGGTGCACATGAATTCTGAAGCACCCGATTGAGTATAGAGAGTAAGAGGTTGTGGAGCCCACATTTGAGGTGGGAAAAGATGGGAACAAGGGTGCTTGTTGTTTTCTGTTTTTCGGCGCGTAGCTGGGTTTCATGATGGAAATTTATACGTGCTTCTGTACTACAGGTGCACGTGGCGAGAGCTAACAAGACGGTTTTGCTCTAAATTTGGTTAAACAGGAGGCCGATCTCCACCGGCCCCAACCCGGAGATTAATTACGTTCGGCTGCCGCGAGATATTGTGCTGTCGTGAGGCAACTGGGGGCTGTTTGGATCAGGTATTTTGAAAGGGAAAAGGAGGGAGAAAGCTATCAATTTGTTAGCTTTTTGATAGATTTCCCTCAAAATCGTCTCTTATAGAGGCGATTTTGGGGGAAAGCTGTCAAAAAACTGACAAATTGACAGCTTTCCTCTTCAAAATACACGATCCAAACGGGCTCTTGCGAGCGCGGTTAGACTTTTCCTCGCACTGATAACTTGGGAGTCATTATATCTACGTAGATAATCCCGAGATTATAAATCATATTTTACTTTGGTTTTTCTATAGAGTGCCCATGGGCACTCGATAAGAGATGAGAGAGATAGAGAGAAATAAATAGCTCATGGCCCCCCTGATTTGCATTAATTTATGTGCATAATTTATTTCTCTCTATCTCTCTCCTCTTTTATAGAGTGCATATGGGCACTCTATAGAAAAACTGATTTTACTTTTAGAGGTTGTTTGTTTGGCCAAAATTTTAGGAAACCATCATTTTCAAAACAAAAAGTAAGTTTTGGACTACAGGATTTCAAAAGTTGTGTTTGTTTCAATTTTTTAAAGAAAAAGATTCTTAAAAAGAGAGAAAACCGTGATTTTTTTTTTGACAACTCAAATCATATCTTTTGGCTTAGAAATGGACTAGAAACCAAACATATTGTCAGCTCATCGTTTCCTCTCTCCCCTTTTCTCTTCACGTGACAACAGTCAGAACCCGCACCCCCATTACGCTCACCGCCTCATCTTCTCGTCCCCTCCTCTTCTACATTTCCTTCCTCCGTTTCGTGTCGTTTCATCGAAAAAAATCAAGGCTATCTCTGCTCAAATCGGTCGCAAATTGATCCAATATGGTCAACTAAAACCTTGATTATCTCCTCGATGAACCCTAGCTATTGATTTCAAAATGAAATTCTTGATTTTTGGGTATAAGAAGACGTGGATTTTCTGATGTTGGGGGTTTTCACGATGCATGTCGCTGTCGTGAATGGAGGCGAGCTTCTCTGATTCGGGTGTAGTTGGCACTTCCTCCTTGTTCCATTCTTTAGATCTGACGACTTGATCTATGAGTTAAGGGTTCAAATTTCACCTCTGATCATCGAGATCTACTCCATAACGAAGAAAAGGTACAACCTTCCCCTAATTTATAATTTTTATAATTGTAGGCAAATTAGTGCAAACTTGCTTTGGTCACTACTTGTTCTGATTAAATAATAATCTAATTTTACCTGATTTTATTCAATTGCAATTTGATAAGCTCTATAAGAAGTTAGACTTATTGTTGTTGATGTTGGTACATCTGCATCTGTTGTTGTTGCATTATTTTGAGAAAACCCATAAGTTTCGAATACTAATAATGAAACAACATAACTTTTCATAAGTATTTGTTGTTGATATTGTTGAATAGGTTGATGTTGTTGATGTTCTAGTTGATACACACCTTGTTATTACTGCATTGTCTCTCTTTAAGATTTATATATTGATTAGAATAAGTAGACTTAGCTTTCACATACCTCTTGTTAGCCTTCTAGAAAATGATATTTTCTTCTTAGGTGGTCTACCACATTTTTTCCTAAGGAACCCAAAAGATAGCATTTATATATGATACCGTGGTTGATAATAACAAATATTGGTTCACTTGTATAATTTGTCTAAACTTTATATTAGCTAAGTTCTAGAAATTGCTCTTTCCTTCAAGTATTTGCATGTGTTTAAGAATATATATTTTTTATCATTGTAGATGGATGATATTGATGAGGAGATGTTAATGAGGATGTCGAGTAATGCTACTATTTCCGTCATTGTGATTGTATTGACATGTGTAATGAGAATGCGTTATAGTAGGAAATCTAACACTTATCACCATAGGGAGGGGGAAAAAAGAAAAGATAGAGTCTAGAAATGCACACATACACCGTGTATTTTCTGGCTATAATCAAAGCTATAAAGTTTATGTTAAAATGAGGCCGCAGACATTTGAAAATCTTATTAGAAAAATTAGAATTACGGGCCTACTTCAGGATTCACGTGATGTTAAAGTAGAAGAACAATTGATCATGTTCCTTAATATTTTAGAACATAAAACAAAAAATAGAATAGTAAGGTCATATTTCATAAGATCAGGAGAAACAATTTCTAGATATTTTAATAAATGCTTAGAAGCAGTTGATCATATAAGGGGGCAATTCCTGAAGCAAGCACCAAATGAAGTGGCGCTAGAGATTACAAATAATCCTTTGTATTATCCTTATTTCAAGGTAATGAACTCATTCACATAACACACTTTGAATAAAATATAAAATTTATTGTATGAAATAATAGTAATTTAATACATGATATAGGATTGCATTGGCATGATAAATGGAACTCATATCGACGTCTTGCTTCCTACTAGACTTGTTGCTCATTTTAGAGACTGTAAAGGTGTAACTCAGAATGTTCTAGTCGCATAAACTCCAAATAAGTTATTTCATACGTTATGGCTGGATAGGAGGGGTCCGCAAATGATTATAAAATACTACAAGATGCACTTTTAAGACCTCAACCTCATGGACTGAGAGCCTATGATGATAATTAATCACTAAAATCAATATTCAATTATAATTTACAAAATATATTTATTTACTATATTGTATTGTTTATAATTGTAGGTAGATATTATTTGTGTGATGCGGGGTACACTACCATGCATGGATTCATCTCCCATTATCGTGGTGTACGTTACCATTTAAATGAGCACAGGGGTAGGCCAATAAATAACAAAAGAGAGTTGTTCTATTTAAGACATTCATCGCTAAGGTCTAAAATTGAATCAACTTTTGGATTATTGAAAAATCGTTTTAAAATCCTCACTGCAAAGCCACATTATCCTTTTCCAACCCAAGTTGATATAGTTTTAGCTTGTACTATACTTCATAACTATATTGCCAGTGGATCCGTATGATGACTTATTATTGAAGATGATGATGGAGAAATAGCTAATGAGGGTGAAGATGATAATGTTGTCGACTTTACTCAAACTAGGGCACAAAGAGAGGAAAGAGATTCAAGAAATGAATGGAAAGAGAAGAGGGACCAAATTGCTAGTACTATGTGGGTAGATTATTATAATAAGTATCATGGTGGGGACACAACCAAAATTGTCTTGTAATTTACATATTAGTATCTCTAGACTTATTGTATTTCTTAAGTTTGATGCCTCAACTATTGTTTGATATTATTAAATCTTTTCAAATATTATTGTGATGTTAAATTTGCATTATTTGATATGTGTAACAGGAGGTATGGCTGATTTTGATGATGTTGATAAAAACAAGGAGTGTGAAGCTACTCCTTCCCTTAAAACCCCTAGAATTCCTCCTTCAAACTTGAACATGAACTTCATGCCATTCTCCTAGGCCCACTGCTCTGCTCCTCCACCTCCTTATCCATCTTATCCTCATTATGACAATAATTTCTCATTTATGACTCAACAACCTATGTCATATATGAATATGCTTAATAGCCACACAATTATCCATGCAACTCCTAGCTCGCATAGCAGTGGTACCCGATCTGGTGATAGTCTCTTAGTGAAGAGGGCTATTAAAGTTGATGCGGAGGCAATTTCACCAAGCAAAAGAAAGAAGAAAGCAATTGATAAAAGGAAAATGCCATCAACAATTATAGATAAGGCTTCAAACACCATTGGTGTACCTAACATGTATTGGAATGCAAGACATGATGATGTTCTAATCCCCGTTCTTGCTTAGTTGGCGAGGAATGGTCTCAAAGTTGATAAGAACTTTAAAATGCATGCATACAAGGTGGATGCTGAAGAGGTAAACAAGTAGTGTGGAGCTGAATTCACCAAGGAAAATGTGATGAACCATATGAAGAGCTTGAAGACTAAGTTTTATGATATGCGAACTATCATGAACATGAGTGGTGCTGGATATGATCCAAAGACAAAAATTGTGACCATGGACCCAGGTTCTTTTGATATGTAGACAAAGGTATTAATTGATATTTTGAATATTTATCCACATTATTTCTATATTTACATATTTATCTTGTATTTTTCCTTACATTAGTTTACTATACATGACAAAAAATGTAATAGCTCTAAGTTGAAGGAGTATTTGAACACCCTCTCACTCACTATGATGATTAATGTGTCATTGTTGGGAATGATCAAGCAAGGGGAAACTTGACAAAAGATATGTGTAAGAAACTTGGTTCTAGTCGGCCTCTTGAATTTTCAGAGGAACCAATAAATCTTTCTGAAAATGATAATGATGAGGCCCCCAACCCACATTTTTTGAGACTGAGATGCCAAGTGTAGAAAAGATCAACACTCAGTCTCAAAATGTGAAGTCCTCTAGTGATGTAACTTTTACATCCAATATCAAATATCAATCCAAAAAAAAGAGCGGCAAGGGTAAAAATGATGATTCAATAATGTGTGATCTCATCGAGTCCATGTCCTACTCAGTTCAAAATCAACATATTTTATATTAGAGCGAGAGCATGACCAATGCTTTATTATCACATGAGGCTAA